AATGAGCAAGCAGACAGTATGCTGCCAGAAATGAGTGTTTGCCCTTCTAGTGTTGTCACAAGAACAGGTAAAGACCAGTGTAGTTCTTTTAATATTCTCCCAAATTACATTCTCACCAAATACTTAGATTTTTATCTTGCAGGAGACTTGTTTATGATCTGTCCTGATGTAGAGAAGGGGTATTATATTAAAATGATGTTAAAACTCATTAAGGAAATAGGACATTCTAGCAAAACACTGTCCTCCTACAGACAAGAGTTCAGCATTTAACTTTGTCACATCAAGAAACCATCCACAGTCATCTCTGAGACTTGATGGTCTCTTGGCCATTAATTTAGTTTGAAACCAGATAACTTAAACCAATGTTCAAAAAGCTCAGCCAAAAAATGGATTTCTTCAGATCACACTTCTGTCAGTTCTCTCAAAATGGCCACTGGACACAGCCATGCAGTGAGACTGTGGTGGGGGCTGTATATCTTGGCAAAAGGGAGACATTAAATCCTCAAATTTCCATAGAATAAACAAGAACTACAGAGACATAGCTCAGCTGGAAATAACCTTCTCAGCATGTCTTTCTGGAAAGTATGTTTCCTGTCTAACCTAAGTCAATGGGCTAGGTCACCCTAGATGATCAAGACGATCCCCTCAGGTCTTAAAATAGATGAGTCTTGATGAGAAGTCTTTGGAAGACCAAGCAAAGGAGACTGAACTTTACAGGAGTACTGGAGGTATTGCAGGACACCTTAGATTGGGCAGCTGCTCTTTGCTTCTGTCACATAACATGAATGTGCTTCTATGTGCACCATGGGGTGCACCATTCCCTTACTCTAATCCTTTCCAACATTATAGAAAGCAAGAAAATACCTTCTTCCATATGGATCATTTTTGATCTCTGTGCCTCCTTTAGTGTTAACATTTCAACAGATAACAGCAATGGCAATTTAGCCAACAAAACCAGCTGGAGTCAGATTTGGAGTGGGCACTGAAATTACCAGGCTGTATCTCATGCTGGTCCCAAACCTGTCCCTTTGTATTTATTAGGAGAAATACCACAAAGGCAAGATTTTGTACTATTTTCCCCATCCCCTTACCTGGAGAATTTTGGGGTGATGAACAGGGTGAGCAGCGAGGAGAGAAACTGTAACCAGGATGGAAGGCAGCCTGCAGTGGTATGTAGGACATAATATCCTCTTCAAAAAGGCTGCGTGGAAAAAGTGATAGGGAGAGGATTGGTTCACATTCATCACATGAAGGAATGAAAACATGCAGAATGGTGCAACTCTTCTGTGGTCATAAGTTTGGGTACACCTCTGACCTCATGATTTCATAACATTTCCCAAATCAGGCATGGTCAGCAGTAACAAAGAGCAACAAGATTCATTTTATTAGACGTTTTATGCTAACATAGTGGCTCACTCTACTGATAGAAAGTTAAGATCTAAGGCTGTGCAGTAAACAGGGACAACTTCAACAAGTTAGAAGCAAGAAGCAAAGATACACACATCTGTCTCCCAGGTTGTTTTCCTTGGGTCATACGTTTTCTTAGAGCTTAGCTCCTTGACCATCTGGATTAATCTGATGGCAGTAAGTGATAAACATTTTACATTAGGCAGTGCTATATAGCCTAATGCACCTGGGTAATGCAATGTTTTCCATGTAAGAGCAAGACAACAAAATAAGTCCTTCTCTGAGCTAAAAAAGAACGTTGCTTGGACCTAAAGACCAAGCTCCCTGGTCCCAATAAAAACTAAGCCTTATCTGCATTAGCCAAACGAAGGTGCCCATTGAGGTCTCATTAGTGTGACATGGCCCTGTGTGTGTGTGTGTGTGTGCAACACTGCTGCAGTAAAACTAGCAATTTAATGAGCTGGATGCTTTTTACAAACTATTCACTTGTACTGAGGAAGACAAGTTTTTTCCTCTTTAAAAAAACAAAAAAAAGAAAAAAGAAGGAAACCAAGAGCTTTTCCTTTAAAAAGAAAATATTTTGACCTGATTCTTTTTTATCTGCTATTTGATGGTAAAAGCTATATTGATTGAGCTGGCTGGGGATGGAGTTAAGTGCACTGATGGAGGCTGCCTTCCAGGAAGTAAGAGCTGACAGATACATTCTAGCTGAATTATTTTTGGGTGACTATCACTAGCAGTGAATCCTAATTACAAATGACTGGAAGATTTAACAAAATATTTTCAATTATGCTGAGAAACAGCCAGCCAGCTTGCATGGTACCATAAGTAATGACATTATGCTTTTCCTAAAACTGATTACCTCAACAAAATTACTAAATCTGCATCACAGGACAACTTCTCAAGCCCATGTGTACCCTCTGTCCGAATGTAATGGATCTTCTCCCTGAAACATAAATGAAATATTATTGAGAAGAGAAGAAAGGAAAAAAAAACCCCAACCAACAACATGCCATTATGAAGGCATGAGTTATGCATCGAGTTGCTTATTCCTTGGCATTTTGCCAGCTGCTCTTTCTTGTATTACAAAAATGGAAAACATCTCAACTGCCTGATTCTTTTTCTAATCTCACTAACAAACTTGTAAAAAAGAATATTTACATCACCCAGATTCCTGGTCCAAAAGCAAGAGATTTAACACCACATTTTAGGAAACTGAATGATTCTTAGTCCTCCAAGCTCTTACATATCACTATAGCTAAGGTCAATGGCAGACTTTTTAAGGCTACAACTAATATACTACCTTTCAAGAACTGAATTTCATGTAATAGCACTTCCTTTACTTCTGTCAGCCCTATCTGGCAATGAACACTATAACATATACTTGATATTAATTGACCACGCAGAGGTTACACAGTACTTGTGTAAATCATACTTTTTTTTTGTTCAAAAAAGAGGGGGACACATAGGATGGTGTCCTATTGGCAGACCACAGAAGAGAGAGATCTACATCCCAGTCTGCAGGGTGTTTCTAAAGCATTGCAGTGTTCAAGAATATTTATTCTAGTATCAAATCCAAGGATTCTACCTCAAATCAAGGATGTGCTTTAGTACCTTGCTGAGTGGGGCTGCAATGTATTGCAGAATTAAGCCCTGGAAAAGGCAGACATTTTTCTCCCAGGAGTTTGACTAAGACCTGCTGTATATGCACTAGTTGGTAGCTTCAAATCACTCCTGACCTAAAGTATAATCAAAGCAATGACCTGGAGGTGAAGGGCTCAATATCCTGTTACAAATCTCATTACACACTGGCTAAGCTGTCTAGTCCCTATCACTAGTCAATTTTGTTCCCTGCTCAAAAGGAGATAAAAGCATCATCTGTTCTCTGAGAAATGAGAATTCAAATTACAGCTGAGGGAAAAAAAAAAAGTCTGGAATAATCTGATGGTGAAGATAAAAATTTCTCAGTTACAGAAATGTCCATCTTGAATACTGGGAGCATTTTTCATTCTGTCTCCCTCATCTTATTTGAATGTATTCATTCCTTCAGGAAGAAAGTTTAATCGTTACAACCAAAGAACTCTTTGTCTGGCCCTCACAGGTAAACAACACATCAGTAAAGCTATCAGCAGAAACTGCTCTGCAGGAACTTGAAGGTCCTTCTCTCCTTTACCAGTCCTGCAGCTGGACATTTTACTGCACAGTACAAACCAAATTCTTGGTCAAAGTCATAGCTGGTGCACGCTGGCATTGCTGAGACTGACTGATGCCAGCCTGGGTTCCTGGCCAAAACAATTAATGTAACCTTTGGAATTAGAATAAATTTAAATGGTACTGGCTTTTGGTTCTGTGTGGGGCTTTTTTTGGTGTAGTTTTTTTTTTAAATTTTTATTATTTTATTTTATTTTTATTTTTAATTTAAGCTAATAGAAAAGGAACAGGCTTAAGAAAATGAAAGATAAAATGTAAGTACTTTGAAAGGGCTACCATTAAGTCATAAGTGTGAAAGATGAGAGATAGGAGTACAATCTACTTCATAATGTTCCTATTTCTTTATAAAATCTGGGTGACTATGTCCATGGCACGGGTGTAAATCCAAGCATGACATGAGATCCTGATTATGCTGAAGCTGCTGGGGTTTGCTGCTGACTTCCATCCAAAACCAATTTTACCTCTCTCATCTGAAAAGCAAAGTGATAATTGTTGGTGACAACAGTTTCTGCCATTCAGTAACACTCAGAATGAAAACTAGATGTGTCACTATTTGGCCACAGTTATTTTGGTTCTTCTTGGGTGTCTGTGGAAAATAAGTATGGTAACTACACAGATTCTGGTGGTCCACACCTACTCTTGAATGGTGACAGTTCCATATGGGGCCGAAGTTCACCTTTTGCACTACAGTTACTGGAATGTGTTTTTCCCCACTATAAACAGTCCTTCCTGGAACTTGTTTTCAGCAGTCTGGAAATACCTGAGTGCATGGTTTCTAGCCAAGCTGGGCTGACGCTCCTGCAGCATCTCAAAAATGTTGGGTTGGCGTAGAAACGCAACGATCTTGTCATTGTAAGCTGGAAAAGGAAAAAACCACAGTAATACAGAACCTTTATTTACCATTGAGGGGTCATGGCCGCATCGAGGCTCTAAAAGCATCTTTGTGAGCACTGCTTTGAGAAGAGAAACTTGGCTTACCCAGAGGTAATGCCTCCTGATGGTGCTGGTTTCGAATTGCTGTTACCAGGCTATTGCCTGGCCTGGCCAACAGAGTAACTCCTCTGTTTCGAGAGACTTCAGAGGCCTAGAACAGCAGAGAGGAAAAGATTGATTAGAACTGACCACTGGTTAGCACATCTGTCAGTATAAAGGTTTCTTATCTTTATTGCTGTGACCTGCAGAATGCTACATGCTGCTGACTGATTGGAGGACAGAAAACCTGCATGAAAATTATAGCTTTATGCTTCAGCCAGGTGAAAAAACTCCAGGTAATCCTGTGCTTCAAAATGGAGGGACACTGTTAGCTGCAGCTGTCACACCTCTTTGATGATGCAGTGAAGGCACCAGAGTCCCAAAGTACATGCAAGCTTAGAAAGTCATTGCAGTGATAGAGTTCCCTTGTTCAATGAAAAGAAAATATCTGTAATACTATACAGTCTCTTGTTCTAGCATAACAGCATTTACTTCAAGGTTTTTACAGAAATGTTAATTTGAATAAAGAAAAAACTCCACAACACTGCAACATGTTCACTCAGCATTGTTGAAGGGAAATATAATTTTGAAAATAACATGAGGAAGGTGAATCTATGTACATCACAGGACAGAAAAGGGTTACACTATCACAAAAGGGGCTTGCCAGCCTAACTTGCATAACCAGAAATAGAAGCTGACTTGTATACACTGAATAAAGAGCATTCTCTGAAGAACTGATAAAAAGAGGAGTAAAAAGGAAATTTATAACTGCTACTTAACTGAGCCCCTTAAAGAATGCCACTGTCCTAAACACAGATCCACAGAAAGGAATCATGTCAGGAAGGCAGATACATAAGAAGGTTGGAAAGTATGAGAATATTAAAAGCTATACAGTGAGGCCTGGTAATCTCTCTTTAGTCAGTCATTACTTGCTGGGTAACTCTTCAGGTACCTGTGCAAGCTGAGGGGAACCCACCTCTCTCTTATGTGTTCCTCTAGAATATGGCCATGGTGAAACCAACAGAGCAGCACTGCTACAAAATCAGAGTGAGGACATCTTGTTGCAGGACAAGATGCATTAGGAATTCCTCTTGCCATTCTACTGTGCTAACAGCTGCCCCTTTCTCTCTGCATAAATTGTAGTGCTTGGCAAAGACTTCAGGAAGAAATTGCTCCTACTACAATAGTTTAAAGGCTTAACTTTGCATCCAAGCAAATGATGCCAACCCATTTTCAGTGATGCAGCCAAATGTCAGGTCTTCCAACTGGATATAAATGAAAGCTGAGAAGCTAAATGTGACTGGCAAGTTGCCTTTGGAGCACATAAAGCATAAAATGTTTATATACAGTAAGATAGACTTCAATGCACTTGACAAGAGTCTATACACAGGCTAAAAAATTAAAAAACTTTATTATTCTAATTAAGCATACTGTAATTGAAAACACAAAACTGCTGTGAAAGTACACAGTAAATGTTTTGCTCCATCACTCAGTCATATTTCACTTGCACCCATGTTATACTGGTATGCATCTCCTGGCGACAAAAGTTATCCTAGTGTTAGGGAGAACAGTCAAGCCTGCAGTATTTAATGGACTGGTCCAACCTTTCTCACCTTTGAAAGCAGGAAGAACATTCAAGCAGGTCATACACAATTCACCATGTCTCTGTGCTGTGCTAAATCTTCTGCTTTTGTCTCCTTCTCACAGCCCCACAGGCCTTCTGACACTGCAAGTCTGGCTTAGGCAGCTTTTGTCCTGCAACCCAGGCATCCACCCTGACTGGCACTATGTGGCCTTCATGGCATTGACTCTATGCTATGGAAGAATGAGGCAGCTCAGGTGCAAGACATGTTCTTTCTTCCATTGCTTCCCTTGTTTGTAAGGATGGTTTCTGATTCACGTTTGGCAAATTCCACACCCGTGTTGCTACACATAGATTTACTGGATAGGTGGTAGGAAGGAGGAAACAGAGGTGTAACAGAGGAGCTACACCTCCATCCCCCACAAATATTAGCACCAGTTTATATTTGCAAGCCACTTATGGTACTCCTGCCCAGCCTGCAACTGTATCCTTCCCCTGCTCATGTCACCTGGTTTTGTCTTGTTTTGTTTTCCTTTGGGCTAGCTTTCCAGTGCTACTGAGTTGTGTGCCTGGACACATGTCTCCTGAAGCATGAATCTGAAAGGAAACATGACTCGAGCCCGTGAAGTGAGATCTTTGCTTTCATTGTCCCTTCTTTCCAATTCTGAAGTAATGAAGCTGAAGTAATCTAGATGGTAAGTATCCAGTTCTGTACACACCTTATAATAAACTGCACACTCTGTTGTGCTGTACTTCTCCTTGTGACCACTATTAGGCATCACTAATGCTGTGTTTGGATCATGGTCTTTACACGTTTACACCTCTAAACAATTTTTCCCTGGCAAAACAACATGAAAAGTCCCGGCCGTTCAATTAACTTCCTTTTTGCTAACACTCCTCTTTCCAATCTTTTAGCTAATAAAGTAAAATTGATTGGCCCAATTCAGTGTTTAATCACAATCGCCTTGTCTGCTTTGACTTCCTAATTGAATAATTTAATTTAGATTATCACACTATTCTCTAATTAAAAAAAATAAAGTGGGCCCTCTAATGATTCAGTGACCTGGTTCATTTAGTGCAGGGTAACCTGACAGATTTATGGCAGGGTTTAACAGCTTTGCAATTGATCCTGACATATTGCAACCAGAGTGGGAAGTCCAAACTATCACAGGAGACTTTCAATGATATAATAGACTTTTCCTGGGTTTTATATCACTGCTGAATTTGAGAGGCTCTGGCCTGTTTGAGTCAGGCTGCTTGTTTGTTGTGGTTTGGGTCAGTAAGGAGATTTATACACTGCTGTATCCTAGTACTTCCTCCACGTTTCTTGCCAACCAGAAAATCTTGCCTCTTCATTACAGATGCCTGCCTCTTTCTTTTTTTTGTCTTTAAAATCTATACTCTGTAATCATAGGTGTTAATTTCCATTACAGACAGAAAGTCTCTTAGATGGAATGGAAAGTGCTTCCAACCTGTTCTGTTCATAGCAGCATCACAGGGAAATTCAGCACTTGGTGACTTATGTTCTTGTAGATACTGATGGCTAGTGTTGCTATCTAAACTTTTCTTTCAAAAACCAGATAAGCAAGAGCAGCATCAACCATCTTTTTCCTGCAAAAGCCTGACACCCTTAAAGAAGTACTTACTAAATAATCTGTAGCATTTTTTCCAATTAATATATATTACCATTTAATATCAAGCATCTACTTAAATGGACATAAAATGTTTTTACAGAAGTCCTTAATTTATAGGAGTATTTCAACATGAAGAAAAAGATAAATATTTGCTATGGCTTGAGGGGGGACAGGTTAATTCTATGGGACCAATACGAGGACCTAGAGAGAGGTTCTTTCGGACCCTGAGGAATTCAGGGGTTCAGAACAGAGCAGGGTCCATATTCCCTCCCATTTCCTGCCATACTCTATAAAAGCCAGGAGGATCAAAGCTGCCCCCTTCGCTGTGCCTAGAGGTCATGGAGAGAGGCTTGAGCTCATCAGCTCCCCACATGCTTTGCAGGATCCAAATCCATCAGGTGCTGAGAAGAGCTGTTGACTCCTTTCCTGAGTCAGCTCTGCCACAAGGAACCCTTGGACACTTATATCTGTGGTCACTGAGATCAGCTTTTGTTTATGTTTGTTCCCCATCCCATGTGTCATTGCCCTTTCCCTGTTCCCTGTTCCCGTAACATGTTCCAGTTTTTATTTCCAATCTTTAAGTCTGAGAGAGTTGGGGCTGTTCAGCCTGGAGAAGAGAAGGCTCCAGGGAGACCTCATAGCAGCCTTCCAGTATCTGAAGGGGCTACAGGAAAGCTGGGAAGGGGCTTTTTGCAAGGGCATGTAGTGATAGGATAAGGGGTAATGATTTCAAAATGGAAGAGGGGAGATTTAGGTTAGATATTAGGAGGAAGCTCTTCACTGTGAGGGTGGTGAGACACTGAAACAGGTTGCCCAGAGGTCATGGATGCCCCATCCCTGGAAACGTTCAAGGCCAGGTTGGATGGGGCTTTGACCAACCTGGTCTAAAGGGAGGTGTCCCTGTCCATGCAGGGGGGATGGAACTAGATGATCTTTAAGGGCCCTTCCAATCCAAACCACTCTATGATTCTGCAATTCTCTGATAATTGGTACTTCTAGTCTCTACTGAGAATGGACTCAAATTTCATTAAGCAAAGAAAACTAACATCTTTGAGAAAGAATATTTTTATGTTTCAGTCTCATGAGGGAACTTTAAAAGTATATTTGAAATACTAAAATCAAACCTTAATTAGTGTTTCAAGGTAGCCTGTTCAACACCACAGATTGTTAGGTGGGAGTCAAGGCAACATTTTGATGAGCGAAGAACAAAAGATTCGTGGATGTCATGGACAGGACTGCAGATCACTGTCTTTACTTCAACACCACAACCTATTCACTTGAGTGCCTCTGGCCAAGGAGCTCAGAAACTTGTTGGTGACCAAGACAAAACTGGCTTTTGCACTGTGTTTTGGCCTGAAAGTACGAAGAAATGAAGACTCAATACTCACGTAATTATTAGTTCCTCTGTTTAACTATTCTCACTGAATTTCAACCCTGCCTTATTATCATTGAATTGGTTTGCCTTTTACTACCAAAAGGCCTGTCCTGTCCTAGATTAAACAGATCTTCCTACTGATTTTCTAAGAATTTCAGACATTACATTTCATTTTTTGTCCACTGTTGAGTACTGAAATCACAGTTTCTTAGAACCATAATAATTTCATGACAGTGACTCAGCTAATGGCCATTGCTGAGTGTGTAAAGCCAGGGTTTTTCTTTTTTTCCCACTTTGGGCTATGATTTTTGTCTGCTTTTTCCTCAACTGATCACTCAGTGTCACAACGTCCCTGGGAAGTCCACATGACACTCTGGCAACTCATTTTGGCACTTGGGCAGGATATCAGCTGTGTTTGCCAAGACCGGGTAGAGTTTTCCCTCTCATTACCCTGGCTCTTTTCTATACTCTCCCTGGCACCTGCAAACCATGATGACTGAAGCTGCACTGTTCTGTTCTTCTTCAGGTTCATTTGACATCTGCACATTATGTTCAAAACCAGTGGTTGTTTTCTTGGTCCTTCATACTGTCCTGGTGACAGATTCCAGAGGCCACACGACCTACTCAAAGAAACCAGCTGGACTGTAGACTGCTGACACGTCACCAGGACAAAGCCCCAAGTGTGTCCCTAAAGACATGATTTATACGACAAAAGCACATCCAAATATACTTGGAAGAAATGGCATGGAACATGCAGCTTTTAATAAATGGGTTGAATTACAAAGGGATGAATCTTTTACTTGTGAATGGTGGGCTTTTAGGCACAGATCCAAAGCCCTGGGAAATCAGTGGGAATCTTTCCAGCAGAGCAGCAGATACTTCTAGAGCAGAAGCTGTGAGATGAAGGTGCCAGCAGTGATGGCTCCCTAGACAGAAGCCTTTCACTGGCTGATCATGCCAAATCAGTGGCCTTGATGAACAGCTTACAATTTCCACAGAGAATTGTTACTCAAAAGTATTCAATGCTTTGCAATCCCTTCCCTGTACTTGTTCTTTGCCAGCCTTGACAGCACTTGCAAAACCAAGTGTATTTTGGGGGCTATGCCATCGGAGTAGCTCAGCGGGGTGTCTGTCCTTGACAGGATGAATTTGTAAGAGAGACCCAGGCAAACATGGGCCCAAACATGAATCATCGTGCAGGTGACTTTCACATTCATGTCAATAATTCAGTCACAATAGTAACACTAAGCTGCAGGCTGTTGGCAGAGGGAAGCTGCTAAGTTGGTGGGAAGATGACTGAAACAGATCCATTGGTATACTTCTGTTTACAGAAAACATATTGCTGTATTCAACCAAGATGGGCCAGCTACTCATTCCCAGTCTGCTTTTGTTCCTAAAGTACTAACCTCATGCCCTAGTATAAGAATCACAGAACTGTTCTGGTTGGAAAAGGCATTTAAGATCACTGAGTCCAACCATTAACCTAACTCTACCAAGTCCAGTGCTAAACCATATTCCTAAACAGCACATCTACCTGTCTTTTAAACACTTCCAGGGTTCACAATTCAACCACCATTCTGGGCAGCCTATTCCATCATTGATCAAGGTACTAAAAAGAACTGGCCCCAACACTGAACCTTGGGGAACACCACTTGTGATCAGAACCCTATTTGGCAGTGGGAAGTGTTCAGACTGGACCTTCTGCAATAAATTTTAATCTTATTTTCAGAAGCATTTCTCTAGACTTTTTCTGGAAGAGGAAGATCCTTTGGCCATAATTCATCTCTACTCCTCTTCAGCTTCAATCTTCACAAATCTTCAACCGTATGGATTTGCTATATGAAGAATGTGATTGCTAGAACTTTTTCCTCCATAAATCCATGACACAAACCCAGGATTTATGCTTCTATCAATTCTGCTCATGCCCCTCAGTGATAAAAATCATACCCATGAAACAGGAAAGATGTTTAATGCAACTGAAAGCTAGGGAAGCAAACCCCAAAATACATTGGTAAATCTGCTAGGGCGTGTATCTCTTCAGAGCACAGTGTCACAGCAGGGAATGAAGTAAGACATGAGGCTGCTGAAGTATCAGGCTATAAAACAGGCATTTACTTCCCTTTACTAAAACAAGACCAGGATGTCAAATACGGATTCTTCATTTAAAATCTATTTTGCCATCATTCAATTTTGACTATTCAGTTTTACTTGTTTATTATTTTGTTCTGAAAATGGTCAAAACATAAACCTTCATTACCAGAAAGCTCCAAGATAAACCTTTCGGAAAAAAAATTAATATAAAAAATCCCTTATTTCCTTTGGAAGATAAAAATCCACAAGACAATCTTTTAAAGTCCATTTGAAAGGTAAGTAGTGGTTTTGATTCTGCTGTTAAAAGTAACTGTACTGATACCAGCACCATTACCTCTCCAGCGCTGTAGCTTCGGAGCCGCTGGAGATGCTGCCGGTGCGTCAGGTGATTCGGGAGACGACCGTTCTGCAGTGGGATCCTGGGGTCTATGAAAGTGGTAGCACGGCTGTTGTGGTCAACGAAGAAAGACTGAAACACACAGGTACAATGTTGTTTTGGTGAGAATGCCAACGTTGTGATAGTATTGTGGGATTGTAAAGTGAAAACTGCTGGCAGTTGTGTGTCAGAAGTACCCTGTCCGGGTACAGTCCTTGGAAGTCATCTGCAAATGACTTTCTTAGCTGAAGCTAGAATATCTCTTAGAAAATACCTGAAGCTATGTAGGTCAAAATCAAGTGTAATGCCTGGGAAGCAAACAATACAGAAGGTAATAAAACTACCAAGGAACACTGCTTTAGCCTATTTGGTTGTTCCAGAAGTCACTCAGCAAAGCTTCACTGGAGGCAGAGACCCTAAGTCAAATTTTGCAGTCATGACAGATCCAAACACTGGCTCAAACTTTTTTGTTAACCCAGTGCTGCCTTGGCTGTGGTGTAACATTACACAGAAAGTTCCAGGGTCACCATTGTGCTTTGAAACATTTGTTATTGAAGGTTTTTCCACTTCTAAAATAACTCTGCTTGCTACTTGTGTCATCTAAACCAAACCTTCACCAATTTTGACTCAAGAAGGAAGGAACCTTTAATGACAAAGTAGCCTGATGTGCTGTGTTAAACAAGTGATTGGTTTTGTCAGCGCTCTTACCTTGCCCTGCTGGTCAGTTTTTATCTCCCAGCCACGTGGAAGCTCCAGTCGGGTATCAGCAAACATGTTGATAAAATTTACCAGGTCTCTGTTGTGCTGATAGCGCTCAAAATTACGAGCATCTCTACGAATCTTCAGAATCATATGCTTCAGGCAGGTGCTGTTAGTGAAGACTCGATAGGCACTCTATGAGATGGAAAACAGAAGTGAAGAAAACCAACTCTGACCTCAAACCAACACGTTTGGCTATTTCATGAGACATAAGGCCAAAGAGCTGAAACAGATCCTGTTAAGAGTCAAGAACCATTTCCATTTCATTGTTCTGATTTGATTAACTACTTTATATGAACACCGAGGGGTAAGAAATATCTGGACGGTGGAACATCCCCCACATTAAGCACCGTTAGCTTGTACATAAACACTTTTCTAAAGGATGGTCAGCTAAAACGTAGCACATTGAAGATGAATGTGGCTATTTAATTGCTGTCACTGGCCAAGAGAAACACTGCTTGTGTGACTGAATGATGCCAGAGAGATGTAAAGACAGCCATAAACATGTATTTATGCTATAATTCAAATCAAGATGCTTGTGATAGGATGGATGAACTTAAGAGGAGACTGCAGTGCAGATGTCTACATCTAAGGTTGCTACCTTCTTTATGGTCACTTTAACCAGAGGACAGAAACAGACACTGTGAGAGGTAAGAATTTTTTCCTGGAAGGGAGTATTTGTTTCTGCAGTGACTACAAAGCATGTCAGATGGAGAGGTTCTCATGAGTCAGATGAATGCCACCCCTCAGGCAGCTAGTAGTACCTCACAATGGGCATTAAATACACCTCTTAGAGGAATGCACCCTGATGCAGATCTAAGTGAGTTAGTGCCAATATGGTTGCAGGATAGGGACCAAAGGGAACTGTATTTGTTGCCACAGTGATAAAGCACCACAAAATACTCTTAGGGTGACAACACTTTTTCTTGTCCACACGTAGCTCTTGTGATCTGTGACTTCAGGGAAAAAGCTCCTTAAGACAGGTATGAACCTTTACAAAAACCTGCAACCTTTCTGAGCTTTTTGCTGGAGAAAAAAATGAATACATTGGTTCTGCTGGTCAGCCCAAAGGACTTAATTACTCACTAGAGTAATAGAGGATCACTGAAGGACTTGTATCTCCAGTGAAATGAGCACCAGGGTGTGCGCCTTTAATCTGCCCAGAGAATCTGCCCCAACAGCTTTGATTTATCCATTTCTGTGTCCTTTAATGCATTTAAACCACTATAATGCAATAAACTATTTACAAGTCTTATCTTTATTATGTAAGGATTTATTGTGGTGGTAGCACTGAGAAGAGAAAATTCCCTGCACCACAGGGTCCATAATTATGGTAAGGTTGGTAAATGTTACAAAATCAGAGACAAGATCTCTGCCCTGAAGATATGACCTGGTCATGACCCAGGAAAGCTTCATGGTCACAAATTGCTAAGAGTCCAGCCTTCTCCATGACAGAAGTTGTGTTCTGATCTAACACGTGGTCAATGACTGTCTGAGTATCTCTCAGCTGCACTAGGGAAGCAAAAAATATAATATAGTTTTATCCTTCCATGGAAATAAAATATCTGAAAAATGAGAGACTTTCCCTTTTAATTCCAACTGCTGGATAGTATTTTCCAATCCCAACTTCATTGGCATAATTAATAGCTTGAAGTTTTAATAAGGGCTTGTGGTTATAATATTACAGCTGTGTTAAGCCAAAAGTTATGTGGGCTATTATTTCTGTAGAAGTGGAATCTGTATGACTATTTGACAGAGGTTTAAACAGATTATTCTGGCTCTCATATTTGAGACAACTTTATAAGCTCAAACTCCAGACCTCTCTTGGTTTTTTTTATTTCAGTGAAAAATAAAATTGGGATTCAGTCTCTTTTGAGCTGTTCCTTACACCACTATGGAATCAGTTGCTCATTTTGCAAATAACTACACCAAATGAAAATGATATTGCTCCCAGCTATAAATCATATAACACCCTGTCAATGCAAGAAATTACATGTACTCCATAACCTAGTTCAGTTAGTGTCAGATGAGCTAAGATATCCCTTTCTCTCCAGGATTTCAATCTCTGACAGATGCTTGGAGATGGACAGCTGACTTTGACCCACAAAGCACCACAGCCAAAACCTGATATCTGTAGTTTGCTAAAGACCTGTAGACCAGAAGTGTTTTAATTTTTTTTCCTTTTAAAAAAAAGTCATTTCTACCCGGAAATGAATGGTTTTCCAAATATTCAGAAGGCATGTGCTGATGCCTAGTAGAACATCTTCAAGATACTGAAAACTAGGGATGCATCTGCTTATGAGATTTCCCTATCTGCTTCCTCCTGGTTGACCTATTATATATATTTTTTTCACTCCACATTAGATTTGCAAGAAAACATGCAGATTTATTGCATTAATAGAAAAATACAAAACTATTTGAATTTTTGAAAATTAATTTTCCTTCTTGTTCTTTCCAAAATAGCTACATTGACTCAAGTCAGTATTTCTTTCACTGCATTATGGCCATTTACTTCTTGGGAGTGCAAACTGCAGGAGTTAATAGGTTTTTTTCCCTCTGTTTCCTTGAGACTTGATGGCATCTGAGTAGTACTTCTCAGGAACATAGCTTGAAAAGTAACAACATCACTCCATGCAGCAACAGACAACAGAATCAAGCCAAGCCAAAACCAAGGGCTCCTGCTTATTTTGGAAGGGTCAATTAATGAGCTTCTCTGTAGCAGAGGATTCCTTGTGTGATGCAGAATCCCAGCAAGGGTCTCCTTGGAGCAGCCTGCCTGTACTGTCCTCAACCTGGTCTGGTGCTCAGAAAGGACAACTGAGCCCTGAGTCACACAATTCAAACTCAATGTGTGTTCTCCCCAAACAGCCTGGGGCACAACACTGGGATTCAGAAATCAGTAGCATGAGAGAGCAAATAAATAATTACTCACATAGTTTGCATGCAGCACAGTAAAGAACTCAGGATTGGTGATGAACTTCACAGCTGGAGACTGCAGCAACAAGGTGATTTTTTGAGAATTCACAGGAGAAAGGGAACCTTCCCTCCTAATCTCTGGACAGAAAAAACCCACAAAAACACAGCAAAATCATAGTGGCAAGCACAGTCTATCACTTAACATTTACTGAATGGCTGCAAAAAAGATGCTATAAAAAAGTCACCATCCTGCCCAATGCATGTAACTTCTTTGTGTTTCCAAGACAAGCCTGCTGGCAAACTGATAGATGTTCACCTGGCTAGTGCTGCAGTGCTTAAAGGTCAGATTCTGGATGCTCTTCTCTACTTTATAAAACTCTGTGTTGTATCTACTGCTGTCTCTAAATATCAAAGTGAGCACAACTATTTTTACCAGCTGATGATTTGGTTCAACACTGTCATTCAGGTCCTGACTGGTTCCCTCCACTGTTGATTTTAGAGAGATCTGATTTCTCAACCCAGCCAAAGGGGTTCACCAGCAGAGACCATTTGGGAGCAAGACTGGGGTAAGGAAGCCCCTTGCTAAGCCACTCACGGCCATGTTGGTCCTGCAAAGCACTGCCCTTTACTTGTAATTGCATTATTTTTGGCCAGTCCATGGTTTTGGGGACTTGCATGGCAAAGGAAAAAAAAATATTAAAAAATGAACAGACAAAAAGAGATTCTTTTCAATCTGTATCAATTCATGAAGCACAGGAGCCAAACTGAACACTTTGGGACTGTAAACTCTGTAGAAGTGGGAACTCCTTGACCTTCCACAGCCACCAGAAAAATGCTTCTTACCATGGGATTATGGTTTGAGTGTGCAGTTCTGGTGTCTTTAAATGCAGGCCAACTTTTATTTTCAGTCCAAGGAAACTGGATGCAGATGTCATCAACAGAACAAATTCAGATTCCTACTTTTTTCTTAGCAACTACAACTTTTTTTCTTCCTGCTAGACACATCATATTATTCTGTCCACTTAAAACTGCAGACTAGATTTGATTTGTACTGGCTTAGAATCTGGATGAATGTGCCTAAACTGTATTTCTTTTGACATCTTTCATTTAAATTAAAAGGCAAATAGCAAATGCATCATACTGCAGCCTTCTCTTACTCTAGTGTGGTTTACATCACCATTGATCTTTTAATTCGTGGCATTTTACACAATATTGACTTTTTCTCCTAAAAGCAAAATAATTATCTGTAGCAGAAACCTTTTACTAATAAGATGACATTATACTCATTCGCTCTTCAAGGTTAAAACAAAAAAAGTGAGTGTTACATAATAAACTGATCTAAAAGACTTACTGGTAGGAAGCTCTGCTAAATTACTGTTTTATTATGTAGGCTACGATAGTAAATGATTACACGTATTACACGATTAGTAATGACTGCAGTACTTATAATTTAAATATTAATAATACAATGTGTCCCTCATTTCCATTTCAGCTGCTAACAGAGAGGACTGGGTTCTCTCTATAGCATTCAGTGTAGGTAAAAGGCTCCCCTAAGTTTCAATACAGAAGGACTGCAAAGAAGCTTTGAATATCAAACATTAAACATTCTTGGTCAAAATTGATTTTCAAGCAGATATTGTGCTGGTTCTTGCCAATGCTAATTCCAGAGGGGTGGCAAAAGGACAGCAAGAAGTTATCTTTACTTCCAGTAGACAACATAGAGCATGGATTAAGGTGGAAGTGAGAATCATCCAAAGGTAGAGAACTGGCCATTCATTTTGGTGGTGTAAGCACATAGTTAATCTTTGCATGTCCACAGGTTTCATAGTGGGTACTAGTCTGCTGGTGTTCCTCACATGAAAAATACACTTAGGCTATGGTTTCACAAATGCTTTAAGAAAATAGGAGTTTGACTCATAACACACCAAAGAGACACCAAAAAGAGTAAAAATGCTCCCTGCCAATCCCCTACTGCCTGGGTACACATTCTTCTTTGCTCCTTTGTAGTGACACTCATTCTTGTCTGGTCATCTAATAAACCAGATGAAAGAACAAATCTGGCTGTAAATATCAAGTACAAGAAACAAGGTTATTTTTCAGTTCTCTGCTCTGGTATGGGTGCTGTCACGTGAGTTAGTGAGGAGCAAAAAGACAACTGTGTCTCCTTCAGTGGCAGCCCATGCTTAGATCAGATCATAGCTATCACAAAACTGCAGTTTTAAAACCCCAAGTATTTCACACTTGATGCCAGGGCCTCTAAAGGTGTGACCACATGGGCAAATGTGGCAGTGTAGAAGCCATGCCCAGAGAGAATGCAAGATGAGATCACACTGCAGCAAAAATACAACAGCGTCCTTTTTGCAACTACTAAGCTGACTAAAAACCAGATGCTTTTCCCATTTGAATTTCAAATAGGCCTGTACCAAAGTAAATATGCTTTTAATGTCTTCGCAGGTATTGAAAAAGAACTGAGGCCCTTTGTGCCTTGCTTTGTACCTGTAGCTTCAGGTCACAAACCTGTGGCTTCAAGCCTAAACCTCCTTCCTTGTAATGAACTTTTTCAACCCAGTATAATAAAGTTCCAGTCTCCCATGGAAATGCAGATTTCCCCAGAACTGAATGCCATCACTGAGTAGCACTGACCGTGCCACTCAGTAGCTTTTTTTCCCCATACCTGAGGTTGGCTGGGAAGGCTCTGCCTCAGAATCACTTCCTCCTCCAGTGGGAACTCTCTCCCCCCTGTTGTTTACTACAGCATCATCTTCAGTCCGCTCTGTTGCAATAGTTCGCTGGATATTTTGGTATCTGCATATATTCAGAAAAAGGGACAACATGCTTTAGTTAACAGAGGAGCTATCTGATGCTTTCTATCTTAAAAATCAGCAGTGGTTTTGAATGCTTCCAGCACTTCTGGCTTCAGCATATGACACAGTAAGAGCACACCCAGCTCTTCACCTTCAACTGAAGCAGCTACTCACACTTGGGCCAACCATTACACTGCAAGTGAGGCATTTTGCACTGAGCAACAAATAGCTTCACAGGGTGCAAAGCAATGAAGACTCAAAGGTCAAATTTAGACAGGTATTTAGGCTACAGGTTGCTACTAGGCTTCCCTTTAAAACATCTGGACATTGGGAATCTAAAACTGCTAGTGGATCATGGTTCCCCCTCTCCTTTAGTCTTCTGGTGGCATAACCAATGAAGTAAGGAACAATGTTTGTGATGCACTGAGTATCCTTCAGTCTTTCTTACTACAGTATTGGATAGACATGCTTAACCCTAGGATGCAACACATGAGCTGAGCGAACAGCTGAGGATGCAAGTGTTATGTCCATTTTTGGAACTCAGTTGGACTGAGCATTTAGCTTGGGTGGTGACTAGTTGCAAAACAAGGAAGAGGAAAAAATACAAAAATAACCAAACAAAAGTGAGAAGGATAACAGAGGAAAATTCAGAATAAAAACCTGCAAAAGCCTTGAAAAAAATGTAACATCCTTTCCATACCAATCATGGAACTAATTGCCACATTAGTTGATGTCAGTGGGTCTGATCATGGTCTTAGGGATGAGCCAAATCATAATTACTTTACCAGATCAGGAACAAAGTATATACCTGGCTGTGGGAATTGAATTCTACACAAACACACTACACAAAACAAATACTAGTTGACTTGTTCACTCACACAGACAGATGAATAAGATGACAGATCAAGATTTCCTTGGTTCTACTGCCAAGCTATGAATATAACTCTCATATAAAATATAAGGAAATATATTTTATATACAAAGAAAGAATAAGAAAGAAGCAGAAAGAGAAAGAAAAGTAAAGAAACAAAATTAGCTTTTGCTTCACTTCAATTATTTTTAATCCTTATTTCTGGATTGCCCTTCTGTATGATATAAAACAGGATGGCTTTCCTGCCTGCATTTAATCTGATGCAGCTTTGCTTCTCACTCATTTTCCTGACTTAACACTCTTTTTCCTTTGCTCAGTTTATAACTTACAAATTTACCCACTTTCTCTCTCTTTATTTGTTAAAGCACACTTTATTCCAAATTAGAAGTTAGTCAGGAATTAGTTCCTCAAAGTGACACAGGATCATTAAAGACAAGCAGTTAGGATTTGGCTTTTACATCTCTCCACAGACCTCGTCTCCAGTAATTCACTCCAATATCTGATCTTGGGCAGAAAGGCTGGAGACAATGAATTAAAATAATTAAAGTTTTAATAGATTTATGCTAAACTTTCACAGTACAATGTGTGTTCTCCAGTACATTTAATGTGTATTTTTACAGGTCAATAAACAGCATCTTTAAAAGATTATTTTAAAATTGGGGGTTCTGGTTTTAAGTAAACATCCATCTTTACAAGGAAATTCTGATAGCAGGTCTTGCAACAGCATGAAGTTATGGCAGTTTAAACCTTCTGTTTTAGACCCAAATTTTAATGTTTTATTCACTTGACTGCAGGCAATTGAATAAACTTTCCATTTCAGTACTTGAAGAGTTTTACAACACCCATGTGGAAAAGGAAGGGGGGGGAGGGGAAAAGAAGTTAATATAATCAAGGGATATAGGCACACATACAAAAAACCCCTTGTAGCTTCAAGTTAATTAGATGGTAGAAAATCCCTATTGGCAAACCTTGAAGAGTAATATTAGCTGTATGCCAACAAAAGGTTACACTTTTCTTTTAGGTCTCAATACTATAAAACAATTTTATATAAATACCAGAAAATGCCAAAGCAACTGGAGAAAATATTTAAAGTGAAAAAGTTATGGGAATGCCTTTGGAAATTTCAGTCTCCTTTCAAAGTTAGTTCTCAAATAAGTAGGAATTTAGAAATACCAATTTGTCATAACTATTATGTCTGCAATTTCTTACGTTACTTATTACTTTTCAAATCAGCGCAAAGACAAGTCTATATACACATGTTGCAAAGCATCTTTGCAGCAGAGCTTGAACAAGCACTGTTTACCTGCTTGGCTAACAAGTCAGCAAGTCAGGTATTGCTGTAGAAAATGAGCAAGAGTCTTTTAAATAAGAAGAATGGATGTTTCTTTGGAGTTTGGCCAACACCTGGATTCTAGTATTGCATTCCCTCTATCCTCAAGTGGTTAGTAGAGCTAATGGGAAGCTTGGAGCACAGAAGGAAAGCAAGACTAGGCTCAATCAAAGCTGTGGGGTTTTTTTTTTAAAGCTGAATTTCCAAAGCTTTGTGGTTTTGGCTGGGCTGGAAATACCAAGCTGCCTTGTAATATTTTGGTCTTTCCATTCCCTTCCACAAAAGAAACCAGGAAGCTGAAAAGTGAGTAGATGAGTAGTTTAAAAAGAAAAGACATCATGTGTTTTCAAGCTGCTAAATGATTTTGAGTCCAAATTTTGTCTGAGGGTAGAGCAAAAGTTCAGGCTGCTGCTAATTCTCTCAGCAAGGTCTGTGTTTGCTGTTGCCTCACGTAAAATGATTCTTTTTGTGTTTGCTGAAGAACACCTCAAAGAATGAAGTCTGAAACACAACAAAATAGTATTTCTGAAATGAGTGCTCAAAACAAAGCCCAATGCTACAAGGTGCTGAGAGTAAGCATTTATGAAAAGTGTTTGTCACAGTCCTGAAATCTGGAGACATGAAATATTTGAAACTGTCTTTAGGACCACAATAATTTTAACATTTTTAATATCCACATTGAAAATACAACAATGACTTGCCACTGGACAAATGCTCAGTATGAATCTCTTTTACTAGAATCTTAGGAAAGGATCCCAGAATTGAGAACAATAGGAGACCTCCATATCCAGTTTCTCAAATCAAGAGAGATCTTTGGCAGAGAATAGAGAATCACCAGCTTTTTTCCTCTGTCCCAAGAAGCCATGACAATTTGTGTTTATTAAATTGCAAAGTGTTTAGTCTCCAGTGGCACTTGGGTAAGGAGAGATACCACTACTAAAAACCCTCTACACTTCTTGCTTTGTAATTGGATATGTGAATAATAAAAATAAAGACTCAAAGAATATCAGTGCTATTAACTGTCAATTCCCAGCCCAAACCAGTGACAATCAAGTCATAACCTTGAAAGACAGGCAGCCTACATGAAAACAGGGAAGAATGAAGTTGGAAGCAAGGAAATCACAAAGGCCTACCCTTCAGTTTCTGCTGAGATAGCTGGTTTAATTATTAACCAGTGTTAACTAATGGAATGGTAAATTCCTATGCACTCTCACAAGCACTGATTCCTTTCCTGGTTGTGCTGAATTAACAGGAGTTCAACCTCAAAAAAAAAAAAAAAAAAAAGGAAAAAAGAAAGGTGATTTATGGCCACAGAAGAGTTTTCTGCTTTCCTGATTTCTGTGGCAGATAACTTGCTTAAGTGGCAGCCAAATAGTCTGAGATATGACATGGCCCAAATCTTTTAAAAAGACAAATACTAAATGGAAGAGCAGTCATTGTCAATCCCTTGAAAGATCAAACATTCACTTTCTTTAGGGTCTTTTTTTTAGTATCAATGTGCTGGCTTGACATTTTCTGAGGAGGGCTATAATGAAAACAAATACTGAACAGGTTCTTTCACCTCTGCAGGACATAACAGGTGTACTGAAATGCCAACCAAAGTAATAAATTTTGTTGGAAAACAGGAGAAATTCTTCAAGAGATTGTTGATAGTGTCAACTTATGTTGCAAAACACCCACTCTAAGAGGGCTGATCTTCTAGTAGTTGCCATTCAGGGCCCATTTCTCTTTATACACAGTAACCCCCAAACTATTCTGCACTCTGAAAACAGCACTTTCAAACTCTGCATCTTTCTCCCAGCTACAGATCCTTCTCTTAGCAGAGAAAAATAGACCAGAAAACTTTTGTGGCATTTCGCATGGTATTATCAGAATATAATTTCAGGTTTGCTTGTGCTTTTCCAGAAACCATACCATTACAGTAAGAAGGGAGTAAGAAAAAATAAAGAATCATTTTCTGAAGTAAAAAGGGAGGATTTTTTGACCAACTATTTATTTTTTCTCTTGCCTCCTAAATTTAGTCTGAAAAGTCAGCAGGAGAAGGCAATGATACACAAACCTATGTGTGGACCAGTCAAACAAAGGGAAAATGTGCACCATGTTACGAGATATCTCAGCCAGCTCTGAATGAACTGACAGATTTATAGAGCCCAGTGCAACACTAAGCAAACCTGTCTGTGTCTAGAAACGTGCACTGTCCTAATGGAGCGGTGCTCTGACCTGGAAAAGGAGACAGACCTTTCAACAGGCCTAATGAGCTTGAGTAGAAATGCGACACTGATATGGCAACACTATTTTAACAACAGTCAGCCCAGAAACCTCTGCAGTGTAGCACTAGATGCTGACCCATCAATACCACTCAGAGTCAAACAGCAAAAATTACTCCATCTTTTGGAAGAACACTCCCTTCTGTTCTGGGAGAAATTTTAATAAACTTTTCCAAGAGCCTGTTCTTGCTGTTTGAAACATTTTGCAACAGCTTTCACTCAACAGTGCTTCTCATGTGGGTGAGTTTTTGGGTACCAGACACCCACAGCAGGCACTCAGCTGGATGAAAGACATCAGCAGAAGGGACAGGAACGTGTATATTTGACTTCTATGAGACATGAAAGACAGAGAGAAGGAAAGAGGGAGGGAGGGAGGGAGGAAGGAAGGAAGGAAAGAAAGAAAGAAAGAAGAAAGAAAGAAAGAAGAAAGAAAGAAAGAAGAAAGAAAGAAAGAAGAAAGAAAGAAAGAAGAAAGAAAGAAAGAAGAAAGAAAGAAAGAAGAAAGAAAGAAAGAAGAAAGAAAGAAAGAAGAAAGAAAGAAAGAAGAAAGAAAGAAAGAAGAAAGAAAGAAAGAAGAAAGAAAGAAAGAAGAAAGAAAGAAAGAAGAAAGAAAGAAAGAAGAAAGAAAGAAAGAAGAAAGAAAGAAAGAAGAAAGAAAGAAAGAAGAAAGAAAGAAAGAAGAAAGAAAGAAAGAAGAAAGAAAGAAAGAAGAAAGAAAGAAAGAAGAAAGAAAGAAAGAAGAAAGAAAGAAAGAAGAAAGAAAGAAAGAAGAAAGAAAGAAAGAAGAAAGAAAGAAAGAAGAAAGAAAGAAAGAAGAAAGAAAGAAAGAAGAAAGAAAGAAAGAAGAAAGAAAGAAAGAAGAAAGAAAGAAAGAAGAAAGAAAGAAAGAAGAAAGAAAGAAAGAAGAAAGAAAGAAAGAAGAAAGAAAGAAAGAAGAAAGAAAGAAAGAAGAAAGAAAGAAAGAAGAAAGAAAGAAAGAAGAAAGAAAGAAAGAAGAAAGAAAGAAAGAAGAAAGAAAGAAAGAAGAAAGAAAGAAAGAAGAAAGAAAGAAAGAAGAAAGAAAGAAAGAAGAAAGAAAGAAAGAAGAAAGAAAGAAAGAACGAAAGAAAGAAAGAAAGATCCTTAGGGAGCAAATGTGATGCACTGGGGAAGGAAAGAAGCCTCTGGGGCAGCGTGGAGTAAAGGGAGTGTGTAGGTTCAAGTGCTCACCGGCGGGTCCAGTGGTTTGCTGGACGGAGCCAGATCTGTGGATCCCGTCGGGTGTTGCTGCAGTTGTAGGGCGCTGCCACGTGGTGGTTCGGTTGACGTGGTCAACGTAGAACACCCTCCCGTGGCTGTCTATCCGAGCTTCCCAATCTAGGGTTGGAAAAAAAGGAAGGGGTGATGCTGTCAGCGTGATGGCTTCCAGAACACCTACATGTGGGAGATACACACACACACACACACACACACATATATAGACAGCTGGGGTTTATAGACACAAGAGATACTACAGAGAGAGGCTACAGGCACACAATAGATATTTTGTGTAAATATTCCAAGTGTACATTCAGATGTGTATATATACTATGTGCTCATCTACATCTATGTGTATGCATATACTGCATAGACATAAATACTTCACAGATGGCACATAGCTAGCCTGTGGAATCCACTGCCATAGACAATGAAAAACAAGTGACATAGTGGCTACATTTTTTAAAGGGCTGGATCATTTTAGCGACAGCAACACCAGTCGGCTGGATTCACTGCAGGTTGAGGTAGCCACATAGAACCAACCTTTAGCAGAAAAGTATTACATCTGAGATAATATGGCACATCCCATGTTTTCTTTTACTATATTTCAGAACTGCATGTTTCATTTCTCTCTTTTTGTTAAGGTAGCTTCAAAGGATACCATCCAGCATTTAAAGGCTTCACTGAAAACTGATCACAGCCTGGTTGGACATATCCTTAGAAATCTCTCTAAACAGATGAGTCTAAGAAACCTGTTGCTCTGATGAACACCTACTAGATTTAGCAGCAGCTAAACTGTAGCAGCAGTTTTAGGTCGCAGCGTAATATCAAGCCTTCCTGCATTATTGTTCCCTGCTAATGCTTAACTTGTCCCATGGTTGAAAACCAAAAGTTATTTGGCCTGTGAAAAGTTATGATGGCCTGTGAAAAATGGTAATGTTGATTTTAAAAAAGTGTTTGGAACAGAAGAAATTCAGCAGTGAGTTAGCTAGCAAAGCCATAGAACAAATTGGTTGGAATGTATGGAGTAGTGATATAAATTAAGACTTGCTAGCTTCATATTTTACATGATCCATCAGCTGATGAAATATCTATGTAAAAATATGCACATACTGTCTACATGTGTTTATGTACCAACTTCACTCACATTCACACACAAATCCACGTATGGTGATTACCTTTGTGGGCAAACACTTCCTGTTATTCCCATACTCTTACTATGATATTCTCCTTCCTGATGAGTCCATTCCTTCTTCTATGGCTTTCTATGTCCAAATTCAGGATCAGCTGGATTTCATACTTTATATATTTTATCTCCTACTCTCTAAGAGTAGTACTGAAGGTGTACCTCTTCCTGCTGTGCCTGAAAATCTATCCTTCACGACTACTTCTCATCCCCTGAATGCCAGCCCTGACTAAACTCTGTTCCCATACTTGGTCTGGTCCCAGCCAAAGTGCAGGCTGCTTAAGTCTGTAGCTGGCTGCTCTGACACGTTAATCCCACAGACCTTAAAAGATGGGCCCTGGGTGTTGTTGGATGGATTTCCTGTAAGACTCCAAAACAGCAAGAGCCATATGCACATGCATTATTTCTTTAAAAGCTGACTATAAGTACCTACAGTCACACCACAGATACACACACTGTCTCCCTCTCTATGTGAACATCACTACACAATTCTAAGGAGAGGACTCTCTCCTGTCAGGTGAAGTTTCCCAAGGATGTTGTAGCTGTTTCAAGAACAAGGTCACAGCTTTGTAAAAAAAGTCTGAAACACAAGACGGTGAAAAACAGCACATCAAGTACAACAGATGCACATTGAAGGAAATCAGACTGACACATAAGGCAGGCCAAAGGCCAGAGCCTTGCTGAGGCTGTCACTGGTGGCAGGTGTACCACCGTGGGTGGGGAATGGTCCTTCTGGAGCTATGCACTACCTGCAGTATCCTCAAGGAAATTATCTCAGCCAGATCAAATGTGACATGATGTACCTTCACATCAGTAAGAACTTCATTTTCCTTGCTGTTGTCTGGCAAAGGACAAACCCTAGTCCTCACCCCATGCTGCTGCAGTATACATCTGACAAGTTGAGAATAATAAAGTTGATGGATAATTAGAAGCTTGTAGAAAATGTTGTAGACCCACACTCTATAGACAGCCTACAGAAGACACCAACTGGTCATACTGGTCTGAAGCCTGCTGATGGACACTTGGTAAGAATAATACCACTCAATAACACAGTCAAACAAGGGCTTCTCATATTCCAGCCCTGTTGCACTACTGGCTCTAGAGACTACATTGCAGTTTCTCTCTAATTAAATGCAACTTAGAGTTCCTAAGCTCCTAAGAATAATACTTAGAAATACAGGAGCAACAGAACTTGTCCACATCTTGGAGGTCACAGTGAAAACATCAGGTCAGGATCCTGCAGACGGATTACAAGTTCAGAAAGGTTATCTCTGTTGGATGTATCAGACATCCAGCTGCATGTGTACAGACATGAAGTACACCTGTCTGTGAGTTTTGCTTTATTCATTGCTTTATGGGTATATAAAACTGGGAACATGGGCTGACACTAGCATTGGCATGCTAAAATACCAGGAATTGTGTGTCACGTGGCTTTGGAGAAACCTGCAGCAGTACTGCTCCTTGCAACAGCATTTTTAATCAGCTGAATACATCTTTTGGTGATCCAGGAAGGTTGTGAGAGGGTGACAGGTGTTGATACTTTTGTTGTATGCAGGTGGCAGATGCACTTTCTCTTCCCACAAGACAATCTGTAAGTCACACAAGTCACCGAAGCTGCATATGATACCAGATTTGTGGGCAGATGGATGGAGACCTGGACAGGGAGAGGAGCAGGCTGACAGGTGAACTGACAGACAGAACTCTTCTTCTGAGCTGTATTCAAGTCCCTTTATGCTACTTCAGGGATACGGGTGATCTAGGAAGCAGCCAAACCTCCTCAAGGTCTTCTGTTAGTTTTTCAGGCAAAATAAGCCTGTGACGACAAGAGAAGCTAACATCCATTTAACCTTCACAGCAAGAGCACAGGCTGGGGACAGGGCTATACTGTTTCAGTTTTCCAGCAATCCCCCACCATCAGCTGAGTCACATTTCACAGCACACTCTTGAACTGCTCCGACTTACACCAGAAAATGCAGGACCATAATTCTGGTGGGGCAAAATAAATACACTGTTTTTCCCTTGACATGCTCAGCCACACCTTCAGCTTGGAGCAGCTCTGAACTGGGCCCAGGTATTTTTCTTGCGTTTGGTTCTGTAGGGTTTCCAGCAGTACTAGCAAACACAGCCATAAGAAGGGGTGATGATTAACACCACTGCGAGGCAGCACAAACTCTGCAAATCTTCTGTCAATCTCAGATAGGCCTTAACATTCAGACTGGTGGTTATGACATTCCTGCATAAATAATGAGTATGTTCTACTTTACATTCCTAAATAAAACTGTCTGAAATGAAATTTCCACCCCGAAGATCAACTGTTTTGGGGCAACGATGAAGCAAAGCAATTCAGAAAACTATTCAAAAGGGCAAGAAGACTGTCCAGCAGATTCTCCATGACTGAAGTAAAACCAGTCAAGATTGAACTTGCAGCAACAGCAAATTGTCTTCAGCTCTACTTGTAGATGGAAGCTAATGCTGCATGTGAGAAGTAAGACAGGTTTAAAATACAAAGTTTCTTTCTGTGGCATGATTGAAGAACTATTTATCTAGGATTAAGAAGCAATAAAGACACTGAGATAGTGATGCTGAATGGTAGTAGAAGTAGTATTTCTAGGTTAAGGCTATAGTTTTAATTTTGAAATGTTCTTAAAATTTCATGAAGACTTTGGAAAGAGAATTCCTAGGTGATATTATCCAATTCAATTTTTTGTCCCCAAAATTAACTTAGTACTGTCTATTCCTATTAAGAACAATATATTTAAGCCCACGGTGTCAGCCTTTATTGTACAAACAGTGCTATGTGCAAATGCTAAAATAAAATTTGAGAAAGGGATGTCACTTCTGTACTGTATCATCACACATTGCATTTCATGTCCTTACACCCCGTTGGGAGACCCCTTGTGGAAACCAATGGTAGAAATACTTACATTAAGTACTTATGTACTTACTTATATGCTTAATGAAGTAAGGATAAGTATAAGAAAGAAGAAAAATGTATTAAATTGGTGATGGAAGAATACGGAACAAATTCCCAGTATGTTTTGTTTACCTGACCTGGTATCCTATCATTAAGTGATCTAATGGGGAACGTGCCCTATTCACAAAGTGTTGGGGTAAGAGTAGGAGGAAGAGGAATATTTTCCTGTTACAGAGGTAACCACTCCCATTTCATCATTCACAGTGGGGCTCTAAGAAGACTTGGTTGGGCTGAAGGCATTTGAATCATTCACGCTACCGCGCAGCTGACGCCAGCATCAGGGCTATTTTCAGCACAGGGAATACTGAGAGCATGGCTGGTAAATGATTCATGGTTTGTCAAGGGCACCACAGGCCAAGTAAGTGAGTTCCTTCCTTGGCGCTGCACACTTTGGGTCCTTAAATCCTGTGCTGAAGTTGAAAGGTGCTCAGCAGCGCGTTGCAGGGCACAGAGTGCGCTCTGCTGGGCGCCTGGCGCTAATGCAAAAAAGCAGGGCAATCCTCCGGGAATACACATGGGAAGGGCTACCGAAAGCAAGTGAAAACACCTCCAGCAGCTGATTCAGTGGTAAAAATCCCGTATTATCAGCCTGCTAATTGACCACGCTATTTAAGGCCCTCTCGTTTTTATCCAACGCAACTGCAGATCTCATCACAGTCCACAATGAACATAAAATTCACCGATTATCAACTCCAATGATAGTACAACAAGATAACTCTGCATGAGCTGCCTTTTCACATCTTCTGCTAGCTTTGCTCAGATTTGGACCTATCTGTCCCAGGAGCATCCTGACTGTGAAAGGGTTCCTGCTAGACCTACAAGCAGAGCTGGCAGACCACAGGGACTGCCACCCCAAACCATCTTTGAAGTTGGTTATGGAAAACCTGGAAACAAATGTCACAGAAAAATGCAAGTACTTTGCTGATACACCACCCAGACAGCTTTATAGTGAGGCTTCTGGAACACCTGACAGATACTCACTCATTCCAGTCTAAACACACCGACTGGAAACAGGGAAATGTTATTATTTTCATTTCATGGTAGGTAAGGAAGAAGACAGGCCAAGGTAGAGGGAGGTTATGGAGCTTGTCCAAAATAACATGACAACACTTGAAGTCAGGATCAAATAAGAGAAACAAAAGGGCATATTGCTTGGGTTCTGGGGAACGTATATACAGAACAGATGGGGTTCTTTGGAAAGACATACTGACCTCTACACTGTTTGAGTTAACAGGAAAAGCTGAAAAATGCAATACATTAAAAAACTAAGGCTTACTTGGTGGAAGAGGCTCATCGATAGTTGGGTAGTGATGATGGTCAGGCCTCAGAGAAGGAAGCTGGCTGACTGGCTGAGAATTATGGAGTAAAGGACAATCACCTATGGACAAGATATTTAAGACATTGACAGTCATTCACTGTTTTCACAATGTGGTTCAAAAATGTGCTTGTAAAACAAGTGATTATTTCTAAATAGGTTAGCCTGGTGTACTAGCAGCTCTGGTTATTCCTATTTTAGGCACTATTGTAATAACAACTTGTATGCCAAAGAATTATTAAAATAATGCAGTCAAGGCTCTGATCTCAGCTTTGAGTTGATCCTAAGCTATTATGGGCCAGATTCTGGACTCATAGACACACATGTAAGCGAGAGAAGAATCAGGCTTGATCTCTGAGAAATACTGTGCATGTACAATCAAACTCAAGCTTCTGCAGATATTCACAGGAATATGCAAAATCCTGGTTCCAACTTCTAATTCATCCCCATCAGCTGAACATAATGTTAAAAGCTGCCAAGGATCTTTCTCTGCTTTTCCAAAAGATCAATGACTGTATAAATGGACTGGAATGGCAGGATTTTGCAGTCCCTGAAAAGCAGATCATCCCCTCCTATACCTATTTTTTAAAATTCAAAGAGTCCATCTTGGGTGAAAGGAGGGAGAATGAGAGCAGGACCAGAAATAGGTAGAAGACAGGCGGTAGAAAAGAAGAATAAGGGATAGTAAGGCATAGTAAGGATCCAAGATAAAGAAGGAAGACCTGAGATACAGAAGAAGGAAAGAAGAAGAAAGAGAGACACACAGTAGACAGTGCAGAGGAAGTTTAAAAACACTAATGTATGTATGTTTATATATCCAAATAGGAAATAAATAAAACCTAACCCAATGTCCAAACTCATGTTCTGTTGAAAAGATCAAGTAACTTAAGATCCAGTCAATGTTTAAACAATTCTTTAAGAAACTAAGTTATAGTAAGGATGGAAAAGCATTCCTCATCTTTTACCTAACTGTGAGAATAAGGAACCTGCACATTAAAACTTCACAAGTTCAGAATTCAGATTCCTTCTTCATCTGACCTTAAAACTTAGAAGCCAGGACTATTTATCCTACTAACAGGCACATTTTCATAATGTGTGATCACAGCTTTTCACTATAACCTCCAGCTCCATGTGGGCCTGCTAATACAGATACAATCTAAGTTGCATAAATGTAACATTTACAGACATCAGGAAGACGCAGCTTAGGGAAAAAAATGTATTTCCCATTCCCAACATCACCAGATAATTACACGAAGATACTTCAAATGTAAAATCCAGACAATTCAGCTAAGCCAAACTTGCTGTGGGCTGCCTGGTTTAGCCATCTTTAATGTCAGAATCTTACTACTATGTGAATGTAAAAAACCCAAGCATATAGCTATCAAATGTAAAAAAAACCCCAACAACAAAGAAAAAAACAAACAAAAAACTCCACCAAACCCCCCCCCACAAAACCAAAAAAAAGACATTTTTTTCTTAAACAAGAAACAGCTGGAAGGCAGAAGCCAACTTTGTATAAAACTGTAAAAAAACCCAACTTATACCATCCAGAAGTAAGAAAAATCACTGAGGCAAAAATACTCCCCCTTCTAGGTGCTCTGATGATACCGTATGGCCTGTAAAACGTCTTCATTAAATCACTTGTGTATAGGCCTATCTTTAAGTTGCATCTGCTGCATGTTTTGAACAGACAGCAGAGTTATGTAAGTTATTACTCAGTGCTAAAATTCCTTCTTTCATAGCTTTAAAAGCTGTGCTGTTACTACAGGTGTTGCAGCACCAACTTCCAGATCGCCCACCTATGTTTCTTTACTTACCTCACCATAATTGACTCTTCCCTAGTCAAGAAGCATGGTAGTGTCAGTCACCTGGAGTGGAGGGAGGTGACCACATCTAGTGTATTTGTAACAGCTGCCAAGTTATGAAGCAACGTGCACATTTACCAAAGCACTCCTGGTGAGACCAAGAATGCCAAGAGCTGGGCTGTCCTTCAGATATACTCTCTCTCAGCTCATCAAAGCAAAGCCACCGTGAGCACTGCAGTGCCCTTTCTGCAGGCTCAGGGGGCACCATCTCAGACCCCTACTGAATCCATGTGCAGAAGACACCCTGTCCCCATATATCCCATCTCAAAAGTACACACAGTCCAAGTCTGCAAGGATGATCTCACACACATGCTTGTGCCCCTTTAGGTATACTGGCACATAAATGCTGTCCACATGCCAAGACCCTTGCCTGCAAGTAAGGAAACTGGGTTTCTGTACTTCTGGGAATTCAATTATTTGGGCTAGATTCTGCTCTGCAGAGCAAATAATTGCTTAGGCCCAGCTGTCTACAAAGTCTTTACACAGTCCAGCATGTAAGGCCATCCTCACACCTCTCTTTCTGCTGGGTTAGGGTCCGTGGCAGTGGAAGGTGGGGATAAATAAATTTGGTCTGGAGAAAAAAAGGCAGAAGGATGCTTTGGTTGGCATTTCCCAGTGATCCCCAAAAACGCTGTCCTTTTGGTGCCATTTTACTTTGGTGAAGTCAAGGGACTACCTCTTGACTTCACTGCATACTCCTTAGCTGCTGCTGAGGCCTTCACTTCTTCAACTGGAGAAAAGCAATACAACAGCTGAAGAAATGATGATCAAACCCATCCTTCATGTAACTCCATATGACATAAAATGAGCTATCAAAGGGAGGAACTAAAGGTAACAGTTTGGAGGGACTGGGGAAAACAGTACCCAAATTACAAAGACAAAAAATTACTTTCTTAAATGTTTTATCTCTAGAAAAGGCCAAGGAGATTAGTTTTATTCAAGATAGTTCAGTTTTCCAAGTATCTAAGGAAAAAAAAATAAAATCTCTGTTGGTCTGTGAAAGCTGAGGTAGGTTTGTTTGATACCTGAGGAATTTGGGCTAGAAAACTGGTTTCATAAGAGACAAATATTTGCATTTCTCTGTGCTTATGACTGTGCACGGCTACCAAGGATATATAAAAACTGGCCCAGGCCTTTAGCTGGTGTAAATCAGCATATCTGCCCTTTGACAAGCACAAGCTGGTCCTTTCACAGGCTAGTAGAGACATGGCAGCACATCAGGGATGTGAAATGGAACAATCCCAGGAAATCAGGAATGAGTTGGTGGATGTGATAATGCTGATCCGCCACATAACTACAGCAGTTAATCTTGATTTTACAATGATGCATGAAAAGCTACCGGGATCCATATATATAGATCCCCATCTGATTTATTTGGTTTTGCTGGGATTTTTAAGTTCAGGCTCAATTATCCATCCCCCCCGATAACTGGCCCAGCTCACAGTCCCCAGACTTGTGCGAAATAAATCGTGAGCTGTCTGAAACCTCGATTATCTGATGCCTCCTGTGACACCCAGATAATCAGGGTTCCTCAGAGCATCGATTCTCAGGATCTAACCTTCTCTTCTGCTGCTTGGACCTGCTACTGGGGTGTCTAGACCCTCTGTGGCTCTTTGTGGATTCCCACCATGAGCTACTAGTTCATCTGGCCACTGGGAGGAGCCATCCACTTGCTCCCTGTCCAGCTCAGGGCTCTGCACTGAATCTGGCACTGACTCAAAAGCGCTGTTCTCCTCCTCATCATCATCCTGTGAGGAGAAGACCGTGCTCTCAGAAATCTTTGCACTGTCGACCGAGGAGAAGCGGGTGTGGCTGGAGAAGCGGTTGTTACTGTCGTAACAGGAGGTGCTGTAGCAGGAGGTGCTGTAGCAGGAGGTGCTGTAGCAAGACGGGCTGTAGCAGGAGGTGTCACACGTCTCACAGTCGTTGTCGCCATTGGCCCTGGAGCTCGACTCGCTCTCGCTTGCTGGCCTGGGGTGCTCCCCATCCAACAGCCCATCATGTAAGTCAGAGAGTTGCTCATCCAAGGTCTCGGGAGGTACCGTGCTCTGGCTGAAGTTCTCCTCAGCATCGTTTTCCAGAGGAGGCTCTGCGGCCACCGTCTCGCTCTCACTGACCCCCTCCTTCTCCGGCGCCTCCTTGACTGTAGACTCCTCCTCGGTGTCTCCACCGTTGCCGCCGCCCTGGTCCTCCTCGCCGTCACTGCCGCCCCGTGCTGAGGGCAGGCTGTGGAGCAGGTTGTGGATGCGGATGTAGTGCGTGCGAGGGGTCTCGGGCTCGCCGCAGGCCGCCGCGATCACCGTCTCCAGCTCGGACACCGGCAGAGAGCACGGCCGGTTTTTCCTCTTCGCTGTGCTCCTCAGCTGCAGCCTGTTGTCTGCCGCCTCCTGGGCTGAAGCCCCTTCTTCTTCTTCCTGACCCTTCTCTAGGTCCTTGCCAGCATGCACTTCTGCACTCACCTCGCCGGTATCTAACGCTTCTACGCTGGTCAAGACTCCATCCTCTCCCTGAGTAGCAGAACTGACTTGGTTATGTTCCCTAACTTCAGTCTCAGGGGGAGACACGCAGGCCAGCAGAGTCAGCTGCTCCATCAGGTCCGTGGCACTCAAAGAACGCAGCACTTCTGGCACGGATTCCACGGTCTCGGGAACTGGAACTGCATCAACCTCCCCATCTCCTGCTAGCTCTTCGTTTAAGCTGTTCTGGTTGACTTCCCCAGGTGGTCTGACAGCCCCTGGGCTATCGACACTGTTCACACTGTATCCATTTAGCTGTTCTGGAGCTGTACTTTCTGAGGTCACCGTGTTGAGGCATGGAGGCTCACCGAGGCTTTCCTCTGTGGGGTTGTTCACAGGGCTTTCCTGGAGGTCAGCTGGCTCAGGATCAGCGCTAATAGAAACCTCTTCGTCATCTGTATGAGACAGGAAAAGAAATTACTTACTCTTTTAACAAGAAGTGTTGACTGAACCAGAAGCTTGGCTGCAGAGGCACAGGCATCCACAGCAATCTGAGAAAATTAAAAGCATAAATTACAGAGTGAAATGAGTGGGCAACTGAGCAATTATCAAGAATTGCTGCTTTCTTTTTTTTTTTTTTTTTTTGCTAGGCAGTCTTTGTACAGTGGGTTTAACAACCATGGGGCTTACTCATGCTGGTAATCTGTATGCAGCACCCTGTCTCCCTGCAACATAACCTGAGGGTAATACCTTCTAGAAATATCTCTTTGATCCAAACTGACATTGGAGGGAATATCATGGGAATTACACAGAAGTCTTCCCTGAGGCTTTAATGACATTTTTCTTGCCATGCTAAAGCCAACAGGACTCCACAACATAAAACTTATACAACTGTTTTTCACACCCCTGAAACTTTCCCCAAAACATCCTTTGTCGTGATCCTCATCTGCACCATGTCCTCCCAGATGTCGGACAATCTGGGCTCTTCCACACCATCCAGATAGTCACAGTTTTCCAGCAAGGGGCAGGCCACAATTTCCAACCATTAATAACAACATTAATAATAGCTGCTATTGGCTTGACAAAGCGTACCTGCGAGGGCACTACCATAGAGAGGGCAAAAACTCCCTGAGCAAGGCTACTGAGACTTTAACAAGAAAAGGCTCAAAGTTACACCGTTGTGACAGTGACTTCCTAGTAACTACAAAAGAATGTGAACCAAAAGCAAACCAAAAGGGAGGGAAGGAGGGGAACACTGAATTATTTTTTGTTATACTTTTTCCACTTAAAAATATTCAAAATTAGAAACTTTCTATTCACCTCTACTATTATATTCTCCATGTTTGCTTATGAAGTGTTCAAATGCAGATGACGCTACAAATAACAGCCCACCTAGCACTTCCCTAGGAAAGGAGACAGGGAAGTAGGTAAGACTGTAGTTTTCCACCTTCTTCTCTCCCAGTGATGTGACAGAGTATTTGAAGCAGCCAAGAGCAGGGGGATACGAGACACCAGTAGGTCTAAGCTAAGGGGAAACAGGGAATAAGTTGTGACTCACGATGCATCCTGTGACAGGGAACTTTATGCACTTTCCTTTGTTCATGGCTGTACCTAAAGTCCCAGAGTAGCCAGGAATGAATTCAAACTTTTGAAGAGAAAGAATGCAAAGCCAAAAAACCAAGATCTAGATAAACAATGGGTTAAGACTGAGAATTACCTGGATGGATGGAAGAAGTTATCTCAAATCGGAACTGCAGCTGGCCACTGACATGATCTGTAGGAAGCCTGCGACCCAGAGTGTAGCTTACAACCCTGTCCCTGAAAGAAAACAAATATTGTCACAATACACTATGACCTTCACAGTGTCTGCTGTGCATAGATAAAGCTGCTGTGTCCTACAGAAATACAGAACGATTTTCAAAGGCTATTCAACCCAGCCATGAGGGCATGTTGACTTGCATACGAGAGAACGAATGGCAGAGAAGGAGAGGACAATGTCTTCAATTACAATGGAACAGCTGAGTCAGTGGGTAAGACAGGCTTCTGGGATACACAAGCACGTATGTATATATAGAGAGAGAGAACAGTGGGAATGGAACTTCTGCAGTATGGATATGAAAACACTGACATGGGAAGCAAACGACTCCCACTTCAGCTACTGTAACAAGACTTCACTTCCCTAATGATCTGACCATGTCTGCCTTTCTGCAGAACCTCACATTTCTGCATATCCTTCCCTTCACCATGTGTATAAAATTCAGCTTTCCTGTCCTTCTATCAAAATCCTGTACAGGCCAGTCCCCGCTTACCACTTTCTCTTTTCAGGCTGGCTGAACAACTGATCTTCATCTATTTCCACCCCTCTTACCTCTATGAAGCTGAAATATCAGGAGAACACCTTCCTGACAAGGTTGATCAATGACTCCATTCTGTCCTTGTGCAGGTCCCTCCCTTTGCCACACTTCATCCACCCCTCAGAACAGAATGAAACTATAGAAGAGATTAACTTCCCAGCTGCCCAAAATGAGGCTGAATCAATGTTTGCAAAGCATTTTTTTGAGTGTAAAGGGTTTACTAAATAGTAATATTTACACATCTTTTGAAGAAACAGTTCAATTCCAGTTGGGCCCAATATATTTGCTAGGGTAGTTTCACATGCATCAGAAACTCATATAAATGAGAAGATCTCTTTCTGAACTTGTGTGTATACTTCCCAGTGAACTTCCCTGAGATTTAAAAGCCATTATGGTATTAAAACTAAGCCAGATACAGGTACAGGTTGGAGGCACTGGTCTTGGCAAAGTATATCCTTAGAGGGTGTTTACAATAAGGAAGTAAAATAGGAAGATTTAATCAGAAGATGATGAGAAATCTTCTCATACATAGGGAAGCCAGTGATACCAGTTATAGGGCTCAACCCTCCTCAAGCTGTTCTTTTCCATCTGGTCTCTAAAAAGCTAATCTATCTTCCCTGCTTGACAAACAGGGAGGTAGCTTAGTTCCTCCTGGTAGATTCAGCTGTCAATATCACAGCCAGTTTTTTAACCAGCTGTTCAAAAACATTTCCAACAAGCTTGGCTTCCTGCTGTTCTGCTCAATTGAGATAAAATTTAAAAAATGCCTATTGGAAACCACATTGCCTATACTTCCTCAGTAGATTACTTTCTTTCTCTGCTCGTCAAGGTCTGAACCTTAAAGTTGAGAGCCAACTTTTTGGCTTAGGTTGCATACTATCAGTTTTCCTCAAGTTGGTTGTGTTGCTTTGAAACCATACACCTTTCCAGGACTTTCACACAAAGGGGAAGCAGCACAGGGCTGGGGGGCTCAAGTGAACTGGTTATTCCTTGGAAGCAGAGTCGAGTTAGCAAGATTTCATTACAATGTGCCACATACATTTTTTAAATAATGTTTCCACTATCCAGAAATTAAAAGGAGGAGGAACAGATCTGGCATGATTTTAGCCCATAGGTAATTCCCTAAAACTTGAGAACAGCCTGTTGATAACATTAAAATAATATTCAAATTGAAAATATTGCACTCTCCAGATTCACAGCCATGACACACACAAAACAATTGTCTTTCCTAAATGCCAGCTCTCACTTTTCAAAATGCAATGGATAGGGTTACAGAGGAAATTCTTTGTCAGGCCCATAGTCCTATAAATTCTGATTAAGACCAACATAATTATTCAGACAAGTGTCAGTTTAATAAATCTCCTGAACATCATCATATCAACTATGATGATACATTATTAACAGGGACCTCAAAACAGGAGCACACTTGCTAAACAATGGAAAGTAGCAGAAGTAGCAAATTTACCCTATGGCATGTCTTTCCAAGAGGCGTTGAACTGGCATGGAGAGTTTTCCCAGGAAACGCTTGATGATCGGTCGGCTCTTTGCAAATTTGTCTTTAACTTCAATTTCCAGGACATCCGTGGGCAGGGAGACAAAGCTGAATTGCTGCAATACAGGAAGAGCACAGAACATGAAGTAGGTGGTCAGGCCACAACAATACACAGCTGCTAGCAGCTCATTGATTTCTGTAAGTCTCTGACTTTTTGACAGGACAGAAACAGTCCTTGGACTCCAAGGCACAGGCCTGCAAAATAAAGCAGGTTGGTCTCAAAGCAGGCAGGTGAAAGCACCCTACAGTTGCTGTGTGATGCTGCAGAATCAGGCCTGGGGAATGCAGAAATTTCATTTACTCATGTATGCTGCCATGATAAAACCAACCAACCTAAAGAATGCTCACCGATGAAAGGACAATCAACACACCCACAGAAATCTAATTAACTCTGCCCCAGCAATTATTATCAAGCTAGATGTAGTAGTACACACATTATGTTGCTTTGTTTTGTTTTTCCTTCCCTCCTCACCCGCCCCCAAGTTCTAAAGACTTTAAATAGCGCCATGAAAGTACAACTGGACTGGCAGCCTGGAGAGATGTTTAGTCAGCATTTCCTTCCAAGTGAAATTAGTCCTCTTTGCACCTGGCGGGCTATTTGTGGAACTTCAGCTGTAAGGCACACCTCAGCTATTGACAAGTGTGAACCCAATGAGGTGAAAGATACTTGATCAAAGTTTTCAGATCAGAGTCTTGGAATCTCTCTCTCTCTTGCTCATCCCTGCCCCAACATAAAATGGAAGAAGTCTGAATAGACTGTTTATTTGGATCAATCTCCTAACCTGGTTCACAGCACAATCCCACAAAGACTAAAATGAGAAGGTAAGCCACAGCTTAGGGAACGGGAACAAATGATACTGAAGAAGATTGGAATGGCACCATCTAAAACTGTTGTTGCAACCAAGTACTTTGCAACATATTATTCCCACCTCAGCCAATCTGGTTTTAAGAACATCTATTTTTTATTTGTAAATAATGTTTCAATAAGCTTTCAGAGACTGTGTGCATGCAAACCTGAGGTAGGAACAAGGAGGGTGACGCTTTAGGTTGCAGGAGCAAAGGAAGTCCATGAGTGTATCTTCCAAGCATGGGAGCATTATGGTACCTGGGGATGTCAGGATCATCCCATAAGAAAAGCAAAGATCTATTTAGGAACACCAGTGAAAAGCAAATATATCAGATAACTTGGTCTTGCTTGCTCATGAAGTGGCTAAATTCAGTACAGACCAGGAGCTGGGAATACAGGTCACTGAATCCTTTTTCCAAACAGATCTGCTACTACTAGAATATAATCAATCAAAAAAGGCACACCTCTGCTGAGGTGTGCATCAGTAGAAAAACTGTAAAGATTCCTGTTCACCTACTTTTAAGGTCAGTATTGAACTGGAAGACAATTTCTGTAGTAAGTGAATATTGAGATGGATGAACGGATTTGCTAGCTTTCCTGCTGCCAAAAGCAATCTTCATAACAGAATCATGTGCTGGGTTGCTGAGGCCTGGAGTTAAGCCCTAAATTGCTTGCTTCATTGAATCATTATCTCATTTTCAGAAATGCCTAGTTAAAACAGCTTCAAGTGAAACCAATGTGAGCGGGATATTCTGTTAATCAGGTCCTACAAGCATGCAAATAATCCGAGAAATACAATTCAAATAATAGCTAGAGCATTATTTTGTAAAGCATTTTCCTCAACATCTCTAGAACAGCTTACCCCAGAGACTAAGCCTAACAAAGAGGACAACAGTATTTCCACATGTATACTGAAAGTTGCCTTATAAAAATAAGGTGTATTACCATTGCTGTTCCACCTGCTAAAAACCTTGGGTAACTGCCACTTCATGACACTTACTAGAAAAGTAGAAGGGAATTAACTTTTAACTGAATGAGGTTATTGTACTGTACAGCAATTTGCAATTTAATGAATTATCCACTGTTATTCTGTTGACACTTAAATTGTAAAAAAAGTGTCTGTAGGGTAGAGCACACACACACACACACAGGTGAAGACTGAACTGTTCACATGTGGAAAATGAAATGTAGGTTAATGTTCTGCACCTTCCTATGTGATTAACATTTTGTCTTGAAGCAAATCAGAATCTGCATGGACATTTGTTTCCACAGTATCAGTTGGAACCAAGTCTGACAGTTCCTTTCTTGCACAAGAAACACACTGACATTTGTCAGAGCAATTATCAGCACATGAGCAGAGAGTCTGGAGACATGGAGCAAGGTGTGTTGGAATCAACCAAAGGAAATGTCCTTTCTTCCTTGAACAAATGTGCCTCTCAGATGTACAAATGCCAGGATATTCCATGCAACCTTTAAAATCATTTTCTGATTTTATCAACTGCCAACCATGTTGCATTTGGGGATACATGAAACTGCCTGGGACGAGACTCTGGTCTATGATCAGAGTTCTCAAATGCTTCTTTTAGGAGACAGTTCTGGTCTGTCTATGTATAAAAACAGCAGCATCTTGGAAACACAATTAAGCCTTTACGACCAGAAGTGTCCTGTGACAGAGCATAAGGGTTTTGCCATTTGGAAACAACTGCAGTTTGAGATCAAAAGTGAACTCACTGAAATGCGTCTGTACAGCTTGTAAAGAAATGATAGTTTTACATCATTCAGTTTTCCATTACCTAAGCACTTTTCCCTGCTGTTGCTTTCATCTAGTTTAATCCTTAATGGGCAAGATTTTTCTAAGGCAATCCCTGACTGCAGATGCCTCAGGCTCAGGACAACTGCATTGAAAAGCTTGAAGGAATCCTTGTTTGCAGAACACACTGGCCTCTGGCCTTTTGAAAAACTGGTCCCAGCAAAACATCTAAGTTGGAGAACTCAGATATTTATAAACTCATTTTCAAAAGTCACCAATGACTTCTAAAAATCTGCAGGTTCTTGTGACTTTTAAAGTTGAGCCTGTCTGCTTCAGATGCGGAAGCAAATCATCATCAAACCCTAATTTCTACCTTCCTTCACCTTTTTTTGACAAGTGCTGGCCTCTGCTTTTTAGCCACAAAATATTGGCTGCATTCACACTGTTTGAATCTTGGCCTTTTCTATCCTAGCTGTCTAGAAGAGAAAGGACCCTGCATTTCATGGTCTTCTCCAATATAACTAACATAGCACATTAGTTTTATAACACTGCTGTAATAAATGACATCCTTTTCTTGCCTAATATTTGCTAATTGTCACAGAACAATGGTCAGTTTGTAAAGATGACTCATCCCAAGGAGGAGCAAGAAAATGAGGCTGTAAGATCACAACAAAAATAAAAATCAATTATCTTCAGGATGAGGAAAGCTTGATGGGGCTTCTTACATGTGCCCACAAACTACACCACTGAAAACCATAAGTGCTGCATTTTAAGAATAAGTCTTCTGCTGTTTTTTGATGTTGCTATAATTATTTTTACTGTAAGTCTTCTGTTATTTGGAACTTTTCTTGTTATCACAACTATTAGTATTACAGAATTAACTTGGACATTATGCTTTTACATTAAAAAGAAGTATAACATCATGGTTGCAGAGAAAAACAAGAATATAAAAACCTTATTACAATAAGCCCAAATATACTATTCAAAGAGGACTTCTGATTTTTCTGACACTCTCTTCTTGAAGCCACATTCTTTTGTTTTGCAACTGGCATTGGCTACCAGGCATTTTTTTTCACAACCTAAGACAGGAACCTTTGACCTGTGTATTTTCACTGGGGACACAGCTAATTTTGTGGGCTTGTTCATTGGTTGGGGTTTTCTCCATAAAAATTCAAGTTCCTTGTATTACAACTTGTAGTGCAAACTCTGTAAGACTGGTCAAGAACCTGCTGGAATCTGAAGACACTCATTAAAGTTTATACTGAGACTAACTGTAGAAGGGTGTACTGAAGTTTACATAAACGGGCTTTTTTTTCAAAAAGAACAAAGTGAAAAATATAATTTTTAGCATTTTTAAATTCTGATGTTCTAACTTAACTTCTTCAAAAGGTTCAGCCTCTCCAGCTGCCCAGAGGTCCACCAAACTTGATAATGGCTGCATGGATCTGATTTGTGACTTCATCTGAAACTTTCTTTGTACTTCAATACAAAAACCTCTCAACAGAAGTAATGGCTTTCAACAAAGGTGCAAACTCATCTCCCAAAACACCTATAGTTTCAAGGCTAAAGCCCCACCCATGGAAAATATTTTGTCCAATGACTGTTTATGTATTTATTTGGATAACATCAGAAAACAGGACACCTGGGAAGAACAATCCAGAAAAGTTGTGATGGCTAGAACTTGATGTTTTTACTTGATCACTAACCAAAATTCAAGTAAAATGCATTATTTAAAATGTGGGGAGAAAAAACCTCTTAGAAGGTATCACTGGACCCACAATTTATAGCTCATCTACAGCAGTCTGTGGATGAATAGATAAGAAACAAGAAGTTAAATCTCTATTCTCTGATTAGCACAAACCAGTAATTACCTATAATGTTGCATTAGTCACAGTGCATTACCCTGCATATCACATCTACTGCTGCTTTGTACAAAATGACTCTTAGAACTTGACATGATACATGACACAGCACATGCCACAGAGGAAATGGCAGATTGCCTCAACAGAACTGCCAAGACATTATCATTAGGAATAACCTGTTTCTCACAGGGTGCCTGGCCCTGGAAACAGTCTCAGGCCTTATCCTGTCCATGTAGTGTATCAGCTGTCTCCCCTTGTCTGTTCCTTACTGGCTACGGATGAGAGGGCTCCTGTTTATAGGTCAGATGCAGACAAGATCACAGACACCCTCACAGTGAGCAGCACCACTGGAAGGATGAGGTGGTCAGCCAGCTGACCCTGTGTCTGTTCTGGAAGAATCCCAGGCTGGAAACCCCTTCAGAGTTAGGGGCTTTGAAAGAGAATGCAGGGAAGCTCTGAGTGCTGAGCTCCAGCAGGAGAGAAGACCTTTTCATTTTCCTCTAGAAACATATTAGGACTGCTACAAGCAATGGTTATCTGTCAGGTGTACTCCTAAAAGGAAGGTACGAGCAAAAAGTCTGAACACAAGGAATGACT